CCGTGACACAGGAGTGTGTGTGTGTGTCACATACACACACGCGCGCGCACACACTTCAATTTCCTTCCTATCTCATAAGCGAATTGCAATCTGGTTTTTTAATAATAAAAACCAGAATGAAAACAAAGCTTGATGAAACTGGGGGGGGGGGGTGGATCCTCGTCCAAGAAGTCAGTGAAGATCCCCCCCCCCCCCGAGTTATACTGTTCTGTGTAAAACTCCCCTAGATTTGTAGAATATTTATTCATCTCTCACCGACAAACTTCAGTGCTGACTTTCCAGCTCATTGCTTACATCTTCCCGATTACAAGCCAGTCTCTCTCATCATCACACCAATTCTATCGAGCAGCGTGTCAATATCATCCGAGTGAATGTACCTTTCTTGCCCTCCAAAAGAACAAAGAGAGGAGGTGGGGCAGAGAACCCATCTGACAAAAGGGGGGACACAAGTCGGGGTTCCAAGAGGGGTAAGTGGGGAGAGGGAACGAGTCAGAAAGGGACACCTTGAGTCAGCTGTTACAACTGGGGATTTGAACTCTTTGTGCAGAAACCTGTCCGGCCGTGTCTCTGCCAGCGAGAGAAGTGATGTGTCTTTCCTCCTAGACAGCCATAGATTGGTGAGTGACATCGGTTTGGTTAGTCGGTGCAAAAGAGGGGTTGGGGGGTTGGGTTGATTTGAGCGTTTTGTCTTGGTTTTATTTTTTGCTCACTGCGACGTAAATACGATGTAAATAATAGCCCTGACATTTTCGATGGATGGCTGAGGACATTCAAATCACAACCCTCCCTCTCCGAGTTGGCTGGGCACTCCAGGGAATAGGGCCGTAAATGCAGCTGGCCTGGGTCACTAAACGTCTTCCCCTGCAATGCAAGCCTGGGGCAGGAAAGGCTCCCTGGAGCCTGCTGCTGATCCCACTTCCCAGAGAAGGGATTACGGACTCCTTCAGTGTGAACGGCTCCTAGGGAAAGACCTGGGAGAATCTTCCCCACTCCGCTTCCCCTTTGGCACTCCACGCTTACCTGGAACAATCCCTTCCTGTGTCTTTAGCAGAGTTAGCTAGACACGGGCTAGAATTATCCAGAAACAGGTATGGACTGTCCCTGCTCCGGATTGCAGGATATCTTCTCAAAGGATGAATCAAACAACGCACAGGGAATGGGAAGCTAAGGAACTGTTTTGTCTTTTGTCCAAGCCAAACTCCAGACCCGAAGTCTGTCTGTAGGATCTGGAGCGGTGTGAGGGTTTTTTGCTTTTTGTTTTAACCCCCATAGAGTTCCTCCCATTACATCACGTTAATGACCCGCTACAGCAAGTGGCCTGTAAAGCAGGAAGCAAACTCTGTGCCTTTTAGAATTATTCGCCCCAGCCAGAAAATGGCTTGCCAGGAAATCATGACAATAAATCAATGTTCCTTTCAAAATGTATCTGATCAAAAGGCAGGTTTGCTTTAGCGGTTTGGCGCTGGAAGTGTGGTGCTTTCCAGGCCAGTGCTCCAGTCTCCTAAAATCATTAGGGGGAAAACAGTGAAAGCAGGTTGTAATCTCTCTGTGGGCACTTCAGTAGTTCCCAGTCATGACCTGGGTCCCTCCTCTCAGAGTCCTGCATCCTGGGCAGGCCCGCTTCACTGCACATTTTACAAAACTCACTCCAGATCCAGGACTGTGTTGTGAACCAGAGGGATTCGTTCCCACAATGAAATGACACTGACTTCCCATAGAATGATGTGGCCTTTGCAAAGCCGGTTCCTATCTAACTGCCGCGGGAGGAAACCCATCTTAATTTAACTGGAGAGAATTGTGTGTGTGTTCAATACAAAATGTCTAGTCTGAGCAAGGTGGGTGGAAAGGGAACACAAATGTTGTTGGTTGAAAGGCAAAACCAAATGGCACTGAAGGACGGGATTGGTGCACAAACAGCGAATAAGGAGTGATGCTCCCGGGCATCTGAATGCAAATGTATTTAAGCAAATGCCAGTACATCTAACATGCTAGTTGGAGTGCCAAACATTTTATATGATCAGATGACTTTATTAATCTTCCTTGCAAACTCCTGGGCTTCAGTTTCCACAGCGAGGCATCACAACCGACCCTCTCCTGATTTATCAGGGTAGAACCCTAATAGTTTTCGTTTAAAGAAACAAAGAATTCTTATTGTTCTCTGTCTGGTTTTGGGAGAAGGTATTTTTCAGTTTGGAGTAGAAGAGGCAAACTACATCCAGGGATTATTTGTGTTAGAAGAGTCTGGGGTCTCCCCCTACATTTAAAACAAGTGGAAAGTTGTTTAAACAGACATAGTGAATCCCACCTTAGCCTTTACGGAAAGAGGGAGAAACCCTGCCCTGGCAGAGTGTCAGATCCATTGTCTTTGGGTTCATTTTGCAGGGGCTTCCTGTTTAAGGTCCATTTCAGCAAGGGTCCCTGGGTACCTTTCCCCTGACAAACTCTTCGGAGGCGGGGTTTCTACCACCGCTGTGTGTATATATACACGTATAATCTACAACCACCGCTGTGTGTTTATACACACGTATAATCTCTCTCTATTTCTCACCAGATGCTTTTGCTAACGCCTTAAAAAACACGCACACCATGGAAAGATGATGTGCATAAGATGCTCATCTTCTCTCTCTTATTCATCCCTGACCAACACATGTCACTTGGGGGCCGGCAGTCAAAGGGAAGAGGTCCCTTGATAGCTGAGTACAGCTGTCGCCTTATAGGGTCTATAGGACCATGGCCATCCCAGACATCCCTTCCCTCTGTTTTACATGAGAAGAAGCCCATATGCAGGGCGAAAAGGGGGTTGAGGATGTGGAAAGGGAGCGGCGGGGGCTTTGTGGATGGATGTATTGATTCCAGGGTTTAACGTTTTACCAATAAACTCGGAGAGGATGGAAACCAGCAAGCTCAGGGAGGGCGGCTGGGAGAGAGAGCCCGGGCGCTTTGGGTCCCATCCGGCAGACACGGGTGTGTGTTTCTGTGTGTGTCAGGCCAACTGAGCCGTGCCTGGCTTTAAAGCTCCAGTTCCCACAACGCTGGCAAAGGAGGAGGAGTTGGAGTGGGGTGGAGAGGTCTTCAGTTTGCAGTCCAAGCGCTGGGTCCTTGGGCTGCAGCCGGAGCTGAGAAATGGAGCAGCTGCCGGGGTTTAAACAAACAAATAAAGACAGGAGATCGGTATCGAAAAGGGGCTTTGTGCCCGCCTGGATCTGTTTGAGAGCCGCCCCTTATATACCTATGTTATCCCGCCACTGGCGCAGACTCCCAACTTCGTCTCCAGTGGTTTCCCCCTCAGGCTTTATTCGGTCTGTGTAGCTTAAACCAGAACGTTATCCCAACTGTTTGCTTCTCGGTGTGAACGTCCAATAGGCGTCAGCTATCCGGAGGGGAACAGAGTGGATGGAATTCGCTGCTGGGCGACAGGATGAGCAGAATTGGGGTTGATGTTTTTAATGATGAGGGAAAAATTGATATGAACTAAACTGAAGTGAGGCGAGTTAGGAATATGACGAAACCGTAACGTAGTTTCGCGAAAGGGAAGTCTTTAGCCCCGCTTTTAGTCCACTTTGATTCGAAGGGACAGCCGCTGAGCTAGCAGGGGATGGATCCGAGTTCTGAACTACAACTCAATCCGAAGTTAAAGTTGGAGTGTCCTCTTCGGATGCGTTTTACCACAAATTGCCTTCCTGCAAATAGCCCATATTTTTAAAACTTCCCGAAACGGAATGATGGACTATTAGAATTATTTTCAAGAAAAACACAGCGAGGTTTGGTTTAAATGGTTTTCTCCAGCCTTTAAACCGTTAACGTTTAAAAAACAAAATAAAGGGATCGCCTTTCTTTGCTAATTAACATTCAGTCAAAACCGCTAGTTAGCAAGAAAAGAATTAAGAAGGGGAGGAGACTTTGTTACAGAAATGTATTTGGGAATCCGAGCAGGATACATTATAATAAAATTTATATTGGAAGAATTTTTTTTCTTCTAGGGGGACAGTTTTTCAATCATCAACAAGTTCAAACTTCATCAACTGCATGGTAAACCTTTCTCAAGACTTTACACATCAATTTCCAAATAAAGGCCATTTCTGACGCAGTTGTCATATATTTACATTATCCCCATACAATATTATCTCACAAGACAAACGTAAATGCAAAACCCAAAGAGAAACCAAATATTTTCCTAACTGATCAGTCATTAGCCAAATCCCTTTAAGGTAACATCGAATTAATTTTTATTTGCAAAGAGGTTCATTAAATAAACTGCGTTTATCATTTGATTCCAATTTTATATTACAAATGCTGGAAATTAATCATTTCGGAGTAGTTGATTTTTTAAAAAATATCCCAACATGAATATTAAAGAACATGAATAAATACATATACTCTGTTGAAAACCGGGAAAATATTAGTTTATATCGGATCGAAGGTATATGAGTTCTCTGTCCAGGTTTAAGCCTTCTGAAAACTCATAAAGCTCTGTCTATAAATTAAGGGGCACCTTAGTTCTTGTCCACCCAAAAGTTCAAACAAAATATCCTTTTCTCTAGCAGAATGGAGTGTTCCATAAAGCCAATAAACAATATGATGTGGCTCAGACAGCAGGAGAGTTTTCACACTTTTCTTTTTCCTTTCCCAAAAGATGGGTCTTCGGGGGGGGGTTTTTCTGGTCATAAATAAAGCAAAATGTTCTAAACTGTGTTTACTCAAAGGCAATTACCGTCTGCTGTGTAAAAACTCAACCTTGCTTTCCTGAAAACTGTCTTCCATTTATTAGCCCCTAAACTTTCTTCTCTTTGCATGTCTTGTAAAGATTACTAATTTGTCCTTCTTTGAGTCAGTAAAATTATTAGCAAAGGTCATTACATTAAATCAGGACACTTGGCTGTAACCTCCTATCCATAAAGATGCCCTGCTCAACAACAACCATAACAAGACCCCAATATTTAAATTATATTTATACAGGCACAGTTCACCTCTTGAGCTAGAAAAAAATATATATTACCTACCAGTCAGTTTTATCACTCTCTCTGTGTGTCTCTCTGCTGGGCACACCTTGTGAGCTATCGCTCATAAACCACTACAGCCACTCCTGTTCCTTAGCCATCTCTTCCCCCAAAGTGCACTTCAGGTACCTTACCAAATAATCATTGGAAAGAAAAAAAAAAAAAGAAAAGAAAATGTGGCCTTACCTAACAATTTTGACAATGGGTCGCTTCCTCTTATTCTCTATAAATGGGTCTCACTGTACCATCCCAGCTTGGGAAGGATGCTTAATGGGTTGCTGAGGTGGGAGGAGGGCAGCGGGACGGCGATTGGCTGGCCGCGGCCGTGACGTGGGAGATCGGTGCATAAGGCTCTGGCTCCTAGGCTGCCGGGAACATGCAGTCCAGCGAGAAGCTGCCTGGAGCGGGGATCGGAGCCGCGCAGAGAGCGACACGCACACGCCAGACGGGAGAGAGAGGCTCGCCTCTTCAAAGACCTTTCTTTTTCTTAACCAGAGCCTCCGGCCCTGCAGACCCGCCTCTTCGCCCGCCGGTTGGAACACCTCGCCGAGCGCCGCGCAGAAGACTGTCAAGAGAGCAAAACAAAACAAAAAAACAAACAAAAAAAAATACCAAAAGCCAAACAAACAAAAAGCCAACAACAACAAAACTAACCCACCACCGCCACCACAACAAAAAGCATGCAATGCACTGTTGTCTCTGCATGGACAAGGCTAGGAGTTTTGACTAGTGGACTAGACAAATAAACAGGGGTAGGTAAACCTGTCTTGCTGAAATATACAAGGGGGCGTTTGAACTTGTGTCAAGAAGACTGTAGCCACATCCAGCGAGAGGAGATACATCTGGCTGATTTATAGTATGAAAATATATCTGTCTATATAACAACAAGCATCTCCCCCCTCCCTCCCTCTCCGGGGCGGCATCCATGACAGATTAGGGCAATGAGACTAGGTTAGGATCCAAAGCTCCTTTTGATTATTTTATTTTTTTTGTTCCTTCCTTTTGATTTCTCGTTGGGAAAAGCAGATGCACTTTGACTCCTGACTGCTCTACCTCAGACCTGAGAAAACTCATCGCATTTGTTTTTTAATTATTAATTATTATTATTATTATTATTTTGATGCGCGTTGATCTGTGTTATTGTTGGTTTTTTATTATTATTAATTATTATTTTATTGGCCGGGATTCTGCTGTTGTATTGAAAAGCTGGGCCGTCGGTGTTTTTGTTTTTGTTTCTTTTCTTTGGGGATTTGTGTACCCCTGCTAGGACATTTGAAAGAAGATTTTCTCCCTCCCTTTCCCCCTTTTGTTTCCCCCCTTTTCTCCTGCAAGGCTTTTAAAACACACACAAAAACCGACGCTGGTGTAATCTCTTCTTTTTTTAATTTTTTTTTTTTTTTTTTTTTTTGCTTGACATCTGGGAGCCAACCCCCCCCACTCTCAAAATAACCAAAGACAATGGTGCACTGTGCCGGCTGCAAACGGCCCATCTTGGACCGGTTTTTGTTGAATGTACTGGACAGGGCTTGGCATGTGAAGTGTGTTCAGTGCTGTGAATGTAAATGCAATTTGACAGAGAAATGCTTTTCCAGAGAAGGCAAGCTTTACTGCAAAAACGACTTCTTTCGGTAAGTACCGGACTCCCCCGCCGGAAGCCGTGGCTCACAATTCTCCTTTTTAACCCATTTTTTTAATAGGAGCGATGCTTTTTTATTATTATTATTATTATTTATTTTTGTATTCCCCATCCTGGGCCTCTCCCCAGCGCGCACACACAAATATCCTTCAGCTCTCTTGCTCAAGGTGATGTCGTGGGAAGGGTGCAAAAGGAGGGAGGGCCTTTGGGTTTGTTGCAGTGTTACCCGGAGAGGGCGGGCATGAGTTTGCCTTGGCAAAGGGGAAATGTCCGAGGGAGAGGAGGAGAGAAAGGCGGCTGGGGTCACCTCTTCGGCTGTCCAGCGCCCCGGGGAGCGGAGAGGTTATCGCGGATCGTTGGCGTGTGTCCGTCAAGGGCCGGGCCCCTGGGCGCAGAGCAGGGAAAAAACTTCCGTTCCAAAGTTCGCTTTGAACTAGTGACTTCTTGGGTGCGCCTTAAAAGGCCTGATTCCTGAGAGACACCCCCGCCCCCCGCCTTGTATCTACCCCCGGTCCCCCTCTCCTCCCCCAGAAAATATAAGTAAGAGAAACGATCCAGCTGAGGTTTCTTTTGGGCCGTCTCTTTCTGTGCCCATTTCAAAGGCGGGGGCTGGTGAGAGTGGCAGGGACTAGAACTGGCTTCTTCCTCTGGGAAAAAAAAACACCCCAGTCTCTAGCGTGTAATGCCAACCCAGTGGGTGCAGAGTCTGGTCTGGTTTAAATCAGCCACCAAAGGACGATTCTCTGCCGCAAGCCGGGTGCTCTCCTCCCTCGGTTACACTTCAGAGAGAATTATAGGGTTTAGAAGATCTAGCCCCCCCCCCCCCCCGCCCCCTGCAGTTTCATAACATTTTACAACTTCCCAGAGAATTTGTTGTTGTTTATTTGGGGGGGAAAGGGAGGTAATTCATATTATTTAGTCTACCTGCAAATGTTAGAATCACCAGACTATATTGTATTGTGATCCTAGACCCAACAGGAACGATTATCCAATGAAACATCCTCCCCCATCTTTAAAACAAATCTAAGAATTGCGTAGCCCCCATGTATTTAACAATATTTCCCTGGGGCTTACGAGGGGCATTAAAATGATCGTTGGCCAGAGGTGTACATCGTTATCCTTAAAATAAGATCATGTACGTGATCTCTCCCTTGCCCTACGTTGCCAGTCTTGGGGTGAAATCCTGGCCCTATGGAAATCAATGGGAGTTTGCCATTGAGTTCTTTGGAGCACTGGGAGTTGAAAGGCCCAGATAAAATGCAGTTTTCGCTGCTGCCAGGCAAAGTGCAAGTCTTTTTAAAAAGTCCCTAAAATACGGAAGAGACAAGAATCTTCCCCGCGTTTTTCCCCGCCAACTGAAGTGCATTATATTGACGAAAAGCTAATATCACAAGCGCAATTATTTGTATATTTGAGAGACTTTTTAAAAACAAATCACACTCTCTTCGGCTGGATTTAACTTTGATGATAAGAGGAAAAGCCAGCGCTCTGCTTTGGGAGTTTGATGCCCTCCTTATCAGTGAGGACGTTACTTAAACGATATTACAGGAAGAATGCAATATCCGCCTCGATTACGATTTTTTTTTAACAGCCACGCGATCTACAGTAGAAAGATCCACCCCCCCCCCCCCGTCCCTTAAAAGTTTGTCTGGAGAACCTTGTGCCCCTGTTTGCAGCCCCTGTGTATTCAGAAGTGATCATTCAATAGGAAATAACACATTTGCTATCTGAGGCTCTCGGGCAAAGCTAGAACTGGGGGAAGTCTGCGTGGAGGCTGCCGCGTTAAAGCTGTCTGCGGTTTTTAGTCAATATGTGATAACTGGATTTGAATAATAAACGTGTTTCTCCAAGAGGAAGCTGCCTGTATACAAACAAATCCCCCTCTTACCCCACCCCCGACGCAGCAGATGTAATAATCCACATCCCACCCTGTATCCCTGTCAGAAAAACACTTCACAACCACCTCCCTTCCCCACCCCACCCCCCTCCAGCATCCACGGCTCTGGGATGAGAGCACCCCCAAAACCGAGGTGATTATAGTGGATCCAGCTGCCACGCTGCAGAGAAGCAATACCAGGGTTTCAACTTCCCGGGTCTTGCCTGGGACAGTCCACACTGACTTGTTGGCGAGATAGAGCCCGGCCCACGGAAATTGACTCGCTCCGCAAATTTGATTCTCTTGCAAAAATCTGCTAATTCTTTAAATTGTCCTTGGGGTCTTTTCCCCCCTTGTAAATTGTCCCCTCTATGGAAATGGAAAGGCCGGATCTCTCTCCCTTTGCGGAGAGCGTGTGCCTGGCTCTCACACAAACCTCTCGAGTAAATTTCCTTCCTTGTCTTGCTTATGTGTTATGAAATTAAATTGTATTTATTGATTTCAATCTGCAGAAACACAAAGGCTCTGGTTTATACTCGTTTGCATTCTCCTTTTCCCTCTGCCATTTCCGCATTGCCAAGGGATATTCAGCTAAGGCGGCCTTCCTTTTAAAAAATGGTTTAAAGTCCTCAAACCGAGTAAAGTGCAAATATTTGTCAGATCCGTGCGGCAGATCCCAACCACAGGATACGGGCTGCAAATATTTCTCGGGGCTGTGTTCTATTCAGTTAAAAACCTAGAGGAAGATTTATAGACCCCTGCTTTTAAAATAATGTAAATGGTCCTACGTGTATAAATGTTCATAGACAGGCCTGTAGGGCAAATGGCAACCACATTTATTACAAGTACAGGGAAATAGGTTATTTTAAAACAAGCATTATATTTTCATCTGCACCAGGAGTTCAGGTGTATTGCAAAAGGCTAATATTGTACAACCAGGCTAAAATATATGAACCGGGTGTCTTTCTCCTCCCTCCCCCGAAGTTTTTAAGTGGTGACCGATCAAATGCAAGCACTGGCCTTCCAATGTTCCAAGCAATCCTACAGTCTTTATAGACCCAGCCCCTTCATCCAGGGCGCGCACACACAATGCAAGGCCCTTGACAAATTGATAATATATAAGAAACTCTGCTTAATGTTTATTAGAGCGTCGTTAATCAATGTGTCAAGGTTTAAAGGGGAAACTCTCCACAACCCAGCTGCAATGTTTTAATTAATCTTCCAGCAATATATCCTCTTCCCAAATCACTTCTTTTTAACACATAATTCACGATCGAGATACAATATAATACAATATAATGGAGGAAATTTTTCTGCATGGATCAACACTGCACTTTTATAGGAAAAAATGCTTTTTTAAAATGTTCGTTGAAGGCAATGGGGGGGGGGCTGGGGTTATTCACTTATATAAGTTTAGCAGCTTTAACGAAATGTGGCCCTATTTCCTACTTCTTTTCCCCCCGAATAAAAAGAAAAAAATTAATTTCGAAATACTGCTAGTACAGTATTTATTTTTTAAATTCTGCTAGTACTAGACTCTTGCGGGTCACCCATATGACGCGCTGATCCTGGTGTTTGTTCTTCCACCCTTTCTCCCTTGCTAGGTGTTTTGGGACCAAGTGTGCCGGCTGCTCCCAGGGGATCTCCCCCAGTGACTTGGTCAGGAGGGCGAGGAGCAAAGTGTTCCACTTGAACTGTTTTACTTGTATGATGTGTAACAAACAGCTCTCCACCGGCGAGGAGCTCTATATTATCGACGAGAACAAGTTTGTCTGCAAAGAAGATTATCTAAATAACAGCCATACTGCCAAAGAGACCAGCCTGCACTCAGGTGAGGAGTCCTCTGCCAGTCACTCTCCAGCCAGGCTCCCAGCTGCCTGGCCAAAGGCTAAAATACAGCTTGGGTCTGCAAAGAGGGATGTCTGGCACTTGGGGCCTGATCCAAAGCCCACTGAGAGCTCCCATTGATTTCAGTGGGCTTTGGATCTCTGTGAGTGTGTGTGTGCGCGCGCGCGCGCGCGCACGTACACATATACACACCATAGTATTTTAATCAACCTGAAGACTCCAGGGGACCTCTCTCTTATCCCTCTTTGTGTAAGGAAAGTTCTACAAAATTGCTTGCTTGTTCTCCCTTGTTATTTATATATATATATATATATATAGGCAAGTAAAGATTTTGGGCCACCCCTCAGCAAGCTCAACTTTCCCATCTTATAATAGAAGCTAAATTGGGAGCAGGAAACCTTCCTGATTTGCAGATGCGTTGATAACTCAGTCACTTGGGTGCAGCTCTGAAATGCAACATATGCACATTGCAAGGGGAAGACGATCAGTAGTCATTTACCGTTTTTAATTGTATACTTACGTTTAATTTTTGAACGGTACATTTTTGCCATCAGAAATGACTGTCGGGTGCAGGCTGATAGTGCATTATAAACACAAATATTTGTTCAGACTATACATAGTCGGTTTCGTTTCCGTTTGTAATAACATGGGAGCCTTCTGAGTGGGGGATCTTGGGTGAGAGAAGTCTGCCCCTTTACATTCCGACTTTATAACCAGTCTCCCAAGCTAGTGTCGCACGCCCTTTCAGGTCTGATTAAATAGAAAAGGAGAACGTGATTGATGCCACTGGGCAATATTTTCAGAGCATGAATTTTGACTCCTACAGGAACGATTCTTGAGCAGTCTGTGAGGAACAGGGCAAACTATTTCAGGCAGTGTTATTGCCCAGCAACTGCCGTGCCCACTTGCAATCTGATACATGGTATATTGTACCGCTTGGAATTTTGCAACTGTTGCATTTGGAGTCCCTATAAGTAGAATCACGGCAGAGGAAGAGATGCGAGGTCTTGCAAGATATGAGGGCTGCTTTGCCGAAATCAATACTAAATATCAATTAGATAAACATTTGCAGCGGTGAAAGGCAGATTTAAAAGTTGAAATGTATTTTATTTTTATTTAATCTACCGGCACCCAATGCTCTGAAATACAATGAATGCATTTTTGACACCGAGGTAGGTTTTTAAAAAAGCTTTAGACAAGGTCAGATGAGTTGATTATAGTGATCTCTTCCGGCCTTCAAAATCTATGGATGTTGCATTTAAATTCATGCTCATTTTTATGGGGAGTGGGTTATGATATTCAAGTTTCTAGTAAAAACGAGTGCCCTAGGAAAGATCAGAGAAACCCATGCCCTTCCCCAAACTGTAGGGAGTGGGGGGGGGGGTCGCGGGGGGAGCGGAAAGGGGGCTGGAGCTGGGGGAAAGTTCTGAAGGTTTTCCAGGTGCATGGAAAACTGTCTCAGCTCCACTCAGCGCCTGCGATGTGTGGGGCTAGGGTGAAGGCAATGCTCAGCACAGCCGATGTGAGTGTGATTCCCCCCCACCACCCCTTTTCCTTTTGCCTAGCCACTACCGGCAGTGACCCCAGTCTGTCTCCGGATTCCCAAGATCCTTCCCAAGACGACGCGAAAGACTCGGAGAGTGCAAACGTGTCAGACAAGGAAGCTGGCAGCAACGAGAATGATGATCAGAACCTGGGGGCCAAGAGAAGGGGTCCCCGCACCACAATCAAAGCCAAACAACTAGAGACACTGAAAGCAGCCTTCGCAGCTACCCCCAAACCCACCAGGCACATCAGGGAACAGCTGGCCCAAGAAACCGGGCTCAACATGCGAGTCATACAGGTACCAAAATCCAGTCCCAGCCTCAGCTACCTTGGGGCCAGTTTGTGTGTACAGCTCGCTTGCTTGTGTTTGGGAGGAGGGTTTTCCAGTCGGTTAATCGCCCCATCCAAAGCCCACTGAAAAGCTCCTGCTGACTTTGAGTCAGGCCCCATGCGAGGGTCTCCAAACAAACCCCCAAAATACAATTCGTCTGGTTTCAAAGTTAAACTTTCAATGATGCACTTTCCAGTTCCGCACCATCTCAATGAAAGGGGAGAGAAGGGACTGACTTGCCAAGCGAGTTAAAGAGTCGGGACTTATAATAATGCCTCCCCTGGCTTTATAATAAAGCCTCCAGAGAGGCAAGATACCCAGACCCCCGCTCACGCTGCGCAGTCCTTACTCCGTCCACTGAAATCAACGGGGCCGCTTCTGGAGCAAATCTAGTGTGAGAATCTAGCCCCTAGCGACTCTGTGCACAGAATTGCAGGAGACCTATTTATCCCTCCCATAGCCATGGTAATAAAGGGAAAGCAAAGGCTTGTGTGTTTAGGATACTGGTCAGTTTCCAAAACAAAAGAAAGAAAAAACAAGGGAAATCAGCGTTCTAGTTGGGCATTTATATATATAATTGCAATGTAAGTTTTTGATCCTAATATATACAAACAGCTGCTTTATGTGGTCAGAGCCTGTTGTTTATTGAACTTCCTCCTGTGGGGCTGGGTTGAGAGATCCCTGAGAGGGTTAAAACCTTTCATGCATTTTGTACCCACCTTTCCTTTGGCTCCTTACATATACAGGAAACGTATAAAGCTTTGACTTTGTTCCAAAAAGGACCAGCAGTATTTGTACCGGGAAGGCATACAAAAAGTAGAAAACGGGGAAGCACCCAGAGGAAGTCTTTCTGCAGGAAAACAGAGAAAAGAGGGAAAGGAAAACGTACTGTAAGCCCGGGAGAAACGGCCAGGAAGAAATGAAGGAAAGGGAGTTGTCCAGAATATATTGTAATATTGACAGCGTGCCTCGAGCAGAGCAAATAATCCAACCCAAATTTAAGGGTACCCGCTGGTTTTCAAGATGACCAGATCGAGGAATATTTAGCGTTATTCTTTCCAAGTTGTGGTTTTTTGTTTTTGTTTTTTTTTAAACAAACCTACCATTTCTAGAGTGACCTTTTGGGCGGACCCTCTCAAACTGAAGAGAAATGTGAACTGCCATCGCTGCTAGAAATAGTCCTGGCCTTTCCTAGCCGTCCTGTTCCTACAGTGACCCGTGCACGTTACGGGGGATCAGCCCTGCAGCCTTCGCCCGAGCAAGATTCCCGCAACGCTCAAGGGAAGTTTTGCCTGCGTGAAAACTGCAGAGATTTGACTCCTAACACCGGGCTTTATTTAACAAAAACATGCAACCCTGCTTCTTGCAGAAAGTGCTAAAGAAGCTGCGAATGGTATCGAAATTAATAACCATAAATGTGAGGGGTTAATGGATAAATAAGAATGACAATGCGCTGGAATTATTAAAAGGTTTATAAACCCGCAGCGCTGGGGGTAATGGGGGGTTAAAGGACCATTAAGGCGAGGTTAGATTGGAGAGTCTCAGTGTGAGGATAATTAGGAGTAATCTTGTCAGGGTAATAAGAATTAACTCAATCATTCTTGACCTGCAGCTGGAGTGCTATAAGCAAAGAACCAAGGGCCTGATTTGAAATGTTCAATTCAACACTGACTGTACATTTGAGGACAGTTTAGAGATATATATGTATAGACACGTGTCTATATATATGTGTCTACACACAGAGAGCTGTGCGTGTATATGTTAATTAGCTTGTTTATAGATATGAATAAAGGGTGTATCTGTGTACATTATGTGTGTGTATATATATAATTATGTGAATTCATATACACACAATATACACTCTACATATGCATACACACAATAATGTACATACATACATTCAATGCTGTATGTATGTATGTGTAAATATAGTGTGTGTCTGTGTGTGTACGGAGGGAAGTTTGTGTAACCTGAGTTGTATTGTTCATGGGAAATATATTTGCCATGTTGTTAAAATTGGAACAACAGAGGACCTGATCTTCAGTGAGTTTTGCCTGAATACAGATGACAGGACTGAGCACCGGTATCCGCTGTTTTTCCCTTAAAAGAAGCGTAACCTCCGTCTTTGTTTGCCCTGAGCTGGGTTTCGCCGGCCCAGTATGTGAGACCGCGGGCGTTAATTAGTGACCCCGGGAGTTAAGGCGCTGAGGGCTTGGTTTTGGTTTTATTTAAAAGAAAAGCGCACCTCTTTATTTAAAACCCATTCTTAGAATCCGTCTGCGAGGCCAAAAGATTTATTATTATTATTATTATTATTTTAAATCTTGCTGAAGCCCTTGGAGAAATTGCTCCCGGGGATTCCCAGAGGTTTTCATTTATTTATTTATTTATGTTTAGCCTTTCCAGGCCATTTTTTAGGCGGCCCTGTCTTTATTTTGAGAATGAAAACCCATCCCCAGCTGACCCGGCCCCGCGCCGCGGGCCTTGGGCTGAAGCCACGTCTCTCACTGTTGCCGGCTCTGGGACTCCCCCTCTCGCCTGGGCTGTTACAAAGCGGGAGTCAGTTCATTGTATTCTGGGTGTCGAAAATTCAAGTCAGAAAAGACAGAGGCTTTCCCAGGGGTGGGGGCCAGAAAGCCCCTAAAAACCCGTCGCTGTCTGGAGCCTGTCTCCAGTGATATACAGGCTGTCACCGGCGCCCAGATGGGTTCACGCACTTTGCTATTCATCAGCCGCCTCTCCTGCCCCGGGGGCTCCGCGGAGGGTCCTAGGGGGGAAAGAGGTGCTGGCTCCTAATTCGGTTGCACCCCGGGATGGAGCCAGGCTTGACACCGGAGCGGAATGGGGGCAGAAAGAGCAAACAAACACGACAACTAACCCTAGGAAAGTGGGGGCTGAGCCACCCAGAGGGAGTCAAAATCCTGCCTCCCTTTTCATAGACTAAAGGGACAGTTCCTGGCGCGGGGGAGTTTGAACCCTGGATAAAAATCTTTCCCTTGGTGAAGGACTGAGTGGGCCGGGTCCCAGGGTCTGTTCTGCAGGGGAGGGTAAAATATCTATCTGCGCCTCTGCCTTGGTGTGTCTGGGTTTTATGCAGGGCTGCATCTGTCTAAGGAAGGGCAGCCTTTGTGCCCGCGGGGAGAGGGGCTGTAAGAGGGGCAGTGCAGGGGCGCGGTACCGCTGTGGTGCGCGCACACACGACCCTGGCTCTGTGTGGACGCGGCTAGGTGCCGGGTGGCTCGAGAGGCCGAGTGGCCAGCCCCGCTTGCCGGGGGGAAGGGGAGCTCAGCCCGGCCCAGGCGGCTCTTTCATCTCTCCCGTCTCCTTTTGCCGCTCCCAGGTGTGGTTCCAGAACCGGCGCTCCAAGGAGAGACGCATGAAGCAGCTGAGCGCGCTGGGGGCCCGCCGGCACGCCTTCTTCCGCAGCCCCCGCAGGATGAGGCCGCTGGTGGACCGGCTGGAGCCCGGGGAGCTCATCCCCAACGGGCCCTTCTCTTTCTATGGAGGTGGGTGAGAGCGCCGGGTAGAGAGGCGCCGCAGGTGAAGAGAAACAAAGGTCAGGCCAAGTGCCCCAGCCCCAACAGCTGGCAGGGCTGGAAGGGGAAGAAATTTCTCCTAAGGGGGATCCCCCCCCAACAACAAACCCAGCTACCCCCCAGGAACAGCGACAGGCAGGGAACGCTTCCCCCCCTCACCCCCCGGCAGCTGCGCAGCATAGAAGCAAAAGATTTTTCTCTCCGTTTCACATAGGGGGGAGGATTTCAGTACGTGGGACAGGTGGGCAGATAGGTAGCTCCCATCAGGGAAGCACTAACCCGCTGGAGGGACACACAACCTGAAGGAGAGAATTTAAAAAGACAGGAAGGAAAGCTGCTGAAAATGTCACCCCTCAGTTGAGAATGGCCCCTGCTCTCATTCGATGTTTTTTAGTAGTGGGGGGGGGGGGGGGATTTTCTCTCCGCCTGGGCTTTGGGTATTCTTCTTAGGGGAGGTTTCTCTCCTTCAGGCCTGTTTTCATCTCCAGAAATCTTGCATAAATAATTGAGCACTCTGTGAATATTTATGGACTCCCTGTTTTCTAGAGCCAAGTTGAAATCTATTGGCAAAGTTTGGGGGAGGGCTTATTTGAGTGTGTTGCATGTTAGGAAGGGGAGGGGGAAGCATAGAAGGTCTAACATTTCTGGGTGGTGGAGGACTTATTTCCCAGATCCCTGTAAATACAAAAGAGGGGACTGGCTGTGAAATCAGGACTGATTATCAACCTCTGGCTGCCACTAATGAATCACTGGAAATAAAGCTCTGAAGAGGGAAAGGGAAAGGCTACCTCTCTCTTCCTTGCCTTGACTGGTCCGTGGCTCTTCCTGAGATTTGTATGATTATAAATTAGCTACTTTCGAGAGAATGTGTAGAAAGCCTTCCATTTCCACTCCAGCTGGAATTAGTGCGCAAAAGGGCGGTGAGGGAAATAAACAAACACTTTAGCCTCGCAAAACCAGTCCGGGGGAGGGGGAAATGAAGGGAAGGCGAGGGCACAAAAATGAAGAATGCAATCTAATGTAGTGAGCCAGAGCCTGTGTAGTCCCATCCTGCAGTCAGCTGGGCTCTGTGTAGAAATAAACTCTTTGATCCGTGGCATTTTCCTGAAGTGAGAATAAGGACCGGGCATAAAACAACAGAATCCGCCAGTATTGTTTTCAGAAGCCTTTTAAAAGAACGGCCATCTGGTTAATTTCACAGTCATTCACTGCTCATCCTTTCCCTTTTTGTCTTTATTTAAATCGGTGAAGTTTCCCCTACATTCCTTGGCCAAAGTAATTTGAGGTGGTGTGAAAGCTCCATCGTGAACAGGGCTGAGGGACATTTCAGTAGATCAAATGACAGACATTTAGGAAAGGTGCTATATGTGTTCTTTGGGCCCCCATCAACTGGGATGGGTCCCTCCGGCTCAAACAATTTGAACCAAGTCTTTCCAATGGACCAGGATGCAGAATATCATATCAGCTAAGCAGTATTGGCTTTTAAATTGAGTGCATTTATTTTTCTTTGTTTTTATCAAAACGGTGACTTTTTTAGAGAAAGGAGGATGGAATTCCTTTGCAGACTTGCCAAAATTTGAAAAATGAAGCAGATCCCTGCTTGGGCAAAGTACATAATACCAGTGCACCCTAAAACCCCAAAATTCTTTTACTTACTGTGAGCTCTTTGGAGCAGGTGAGGTACTCTGCGTGTTTTAAGATGGTACAGCAGCTAGCCCAGTTGGGCACTGGGGAATGAAATACGCTAACAGGCCAGCCTCTCCCTGAAGCTAAGCACCTGAACCTACATTCAGGGCCAGATTTTTCTAAGTGTTTAGCACCTCTCTAGGCACCTGAGTGAAGTGGCCAGATTGGCAAAAGTGTTCTGTCCCCAGCTCCCATTGGGCTCAACTGGGAAGTAAGGGCTACTGGGCGCCAAGCTACTTTATTTCGGTGTCTACCTGGGTGCTGAGACATTAGGCTTTGCTTAGGTGCCTAACTGAGGGCCTGATTCAAAGCCCAACAAGCTCAATGGAAAGACTCCTGTTGATTTTAATTAGCTTTGGACCAGGTTAAGGCACCTAGTTTGCCTTTAGGCTATCTAGTTCTTTTATTGTTTTACACTTGGTTCCTTTGCATTATTCTCCCTCTCTCTCTCTCTCTCTCTCTCTCTCTTTGTCTGGTAGATTATCAGAGCGAGTATTATGGCCCTGGAAGCAATTATGATTTCTTCCCACAAGGACCCCCTTCATCTCAAGCTCAGACACCAGTCGATCTCCCCTTTGTGCCCTCTTCTGGGCCATCAGGAACTCCTCTGGGTGGACTGGATCACCCATTACCCGGACACCACCCTTCTAGTGAGGCTCAGCGCTTCACTGACATAATGTCGCACCCACCTGGAGACTCACCCAGCCCTGAGCCCAACCTTCCAGGTTCTTTGCACTCCATGTCTGCAGAAGTTTTTGGTCCAAGTCCTCCGTTTTCTTCAATATCCGTCAACGGTGGTGCTAATTATGGCAATCACTTGTCACATCCACCAGAAATGAATGAAGCCGCTGTGTGGTAGCTTTAAAACAAACTGGGTCTAAGTAAGTGATGATCTTCTAGTCTGCTTATGTTATGGTGTACAGAAATGAATAAATATAACATCTCTCTTGCCCTAAGACAATTTTACTGTGGGAATGAACTGAATCCAAATCACTCCAAGGCAAGCTTTGCTATAGACCGGGACAATCTTCATAATATGGTTGTAACAAACAAACAAAAAAGCGACATTTTTTGGTACCATTGAAAAGACACTGGTGAAGCTGTACAGTAAAGTGCTGCCCTGCTATAGGATGGCATAGGTTGAATACCCTGTTGGATGTCACCCTAAGAGCCACAATCCTTAGGAGCTTTTCGTTTAAAAAACAAAAAGAACAAAAGAAAGGTCAAAGAAAGGGAGGGGGGAAGTGTGAAGAGCGCTAGTATTCCTGGTTAAGGATGGTTCTGGCATTATGAATTTGTTTGTTAATTTTGTCTCTCAGAAAGTTCAACAACAACAAACTCTTTTTAGCTTCAGAAACATGAGCCTGCTGACTATCAGGTGGGACTTTTTGTTTTTTAATTATTTTGCCAAAATAACAAATACTAAATGTAAAGCCCTCAGCATCAACTCTTCTACCTTCACAAAGCTACACACACAAAAAAATCCTCATAATAACAAAGGTCGCCAACCAGACCTCTAACTAAAAATGACTTGAAACAAACAAATAAAAAAAGTATTCTACCTTCACAAAAAAACCTAAACAAAAGACTCTACTGACCTAAAAACAGTCAACTGTTTACGTAGAATGTTAAATTCAGGAGTTCAATGTTTTACTAATAAATCCTGTTTTAGAACCTCTTGTTCAAAAGCAAAATATTTTGAGCAACCAACCAAAATATATCACTTTCTTTTCTGTAGATGTTATATGACAGATTGCAGGGCTTGTGGTTCACTGTGCTCGTTGTAAAAGGTGTTGTTTACAGAAGGCAAAGAAGAAGAAGAAGAAAAAAAAAACACATGAAAACCAGACAGTTGCCAAATAAAGTAATTATATAGCACAAATACTGTAAGGTGCTTTGCACCAGCAACCTGAGCAAGTGTTTTTTGTTTTTTATTTAAAGTGTTACAAGGTTAAACAAACAAACATCTTTGCTAATTTTTAGTCCTGTTGAACATTCATGGAATTGTTAATATGACTTATATAGACCCACACAGGTTTTATTTTTGTGTCTTTAAAAGAAAAGTCCAAAATATTTAAATTTTATGGTCAAATATGCAGTCAACAGCTGCTGCTTTTTTCTTTATATATTAAATTTCTCATATGTCTTTTATTGTTCTAATAAACCTAAGCTTGTGTGACCTCCAGTGCATATTAGACCATTCACTGTATGAAAGAAAACATGTTGGATAAAATTTGTGAGTTTTTAATAAAATTAGAAAATCTGATGTTTAGATAACTTGTGTTTCATTTGATGTTTTAAATAATTTTAAATGGGTCCTCTGAGTATAATAGCCCTGAAAAGATACATCCACTATACTCATATTATATATATCTATTTTGCTTTGGTAGAAGTCTAAATCCTGTTGCCAATGAAAATAGATGTTGTTATCTGTAGTTTCATCCTCTCTTTGCACCTCAATTGATACAGTGCAAAAATATGTTCATCTTTTAATTAAATTACAGAATTGGAAACGTATCAAATTGTTTAACATATTAGTTCATTCTAGGTCTATGGTAAGATACAAAACGTGTCCAAGATGTTCATTTTTATGCATATACAAAACTGTATTGTGAATATGTCAAAACCCTGTAAATATATGGTGTAGGGTTGGTCCATTTTTAGCTCAATTTATTTTCCATAGGAAATCCTGCTTTCTAATTTGGTGGTCTGAAACATAACATAAACTGAATGTACAGCAAAAAAATGACAATAATTTTAATCCCCTTTTCAGAGCTGATATAAAGTTCATTGTTTTATAGCATTTGGTATGTTAGAAGTTGCACTGAATACATATTGCCCCTAAAATTTTGAAAAGTTACAGATATAATATTTCAGTTGTAAATTATTACATTGTCTCAGTCTACAGTCCTTACTGAGGCAAAAATACTATTGATGGCTGATTAAGGAGTACAAGGTTGGGTCTAGGCTTGATAAGCCACATAGTTAAAATGCTGTCCAAGTGCTCATTTAGTAGGGAGACGGGAGTGGAATTATATATATTCTCCATTCCTGAGTTTGGCTGTTTCTTTCTTTTGTTTTAAGTAGGCCCAGAAATTTTGCTCTTACCTACAGACTCCTGTATCGCCAGTTCTGTAGTCTTGATTATTTATCTCTTTGTGGTGAGGGGAAAAATCAGAATGCTTTAAAATTGCATGGTATGTAATTTTTTATTGGTGGTTTCACATTTTGTTGATGAACACCTAGGCTTATAGACCCAGCAGAGGGGACATTTAGTTTAAGCAATACTTCAGTTTAAACACAGAATGTCTTATAAATATAAACGATCTGCAAGGGATCTGTTAGCATTCTTTTTTTTAAAATCATGCTTCATTAAATGCAGGGGAGACTTTTTAAGCTCATCGGCTCTGTGTGTAACTCATTTCTTTATCTGCTTTATTGTTTTTATATCAGGTGCTTCTGATTTTTTGGTCCATTTTGCATTTATATAATGAAATCACGGGAGATCTGCTCGTTACATATTTTGATTTAACTGGACTGATGCTCTTTATATCTACTACCATTTGCTATTAGGGGACTGGTCTACACTGCTGTTTTCTTGTTGTGTCAGTTATTTTACATGAAGAATTTCACCAATCAGGCATAATCTGTAGAATTTGTCCCAAGTGGTTCCCCCCCCCCCCTTTCTTTCTTGGAGTGAGTTACTTGTCCAGTGTATTAAGTATTTTTTTTTTTTATGTAGCACACAGGTAGAAATGTGATGTAACTCAGATTTAGGTCATACTGGGCCAGAGGAAAGCCTGAGTTTACTGGACCCAATCCTGCAGTCCTTATTTCAGACAAAGCTGCTGATTCGAGTGGCATAAGTTTTGCCTGACTACGGGCACTATCCACAAGGCTGTGAGAACTCTGGCTCTGATCCATCAAAGCACTTTAGCACATGCTTAATTTTAAGCACTTGAGTAGTCCCAGGCATAAAGTTAAGCACACACCTAAGCGCTTTGTTGGATTGGAGCCAGAGTGCTCAGCTCTAGAGTTCTGGACTCTGATTAACAAGGTAGATACTTAGGAAGGGCCTAATCCTGTGTTGTTTGCACAGTCAAAACTCCTATTGAAATCGCTGGGATATTGGACCCTATGCAAGCCCTTGCTTACATGTGCAGTTCTATTGAGGAGCAGTACTCCTGAGTAAGGGTTTTCAGGGTAAGACCCTCTGAGTACGTGTGTTTGTGTGAATATTTTATATATGCGTGTGTGTATGTGTTATATATAACCACACATATGTGCGCGAAGATGCACACAATGGACTTTCAGGCCTGTTTTAAAAAAATATCCTCTTTTGATCTCTCCTTGCTTAACCATTACCGGTTCTGGTGCCTTCCAGGAGAGTGTCTGTGTTTCTACTACTTTGCCGTAGAAAGGGCAGACGGATGACGCAAGACTGTGTCCAGGCCTAGATCTGTGCACCAAACTTGCACTGACATATTGGCATTTGACACACAGATCGAGAGCAGTATGTAGCCTTTATGTTATGGCAGTGTAAGGATTGCTCAGCATTTGAATGTGTAAGACTAAGGACTTGTGCAAATGCTTCACAGCAATGTATTATTTACTAGAAAAAAGTGTGTGAAAACAAGGAACGCACTATTTATAGTAAACCAATTTTAATTGAACAAGATGTTTCTATCGACTAATCAAAGTGATCCTAAAACTAGTGTGTGTCTCCAGCATTCAAATAACAACTCTTCAGTCACAAATTATGGACCCTATTCTCCCTCACTATCATTGCTGGAAACTCCCATTGATGGCAGTAGCAGCTTCCTTTCTGCGTTAGTAATTTCCATTATCTATTTACTCAGGCCAATGCTTGAGGGAGTGTTGGGGGATTTGTAAAGATCTGTATCCTAAGGTGAAGATGTACCTAAATTATGATTTGTAGATAATTATGTATATTATTTTAATATATGTATGTGTGCCCAGATCCTGAGTGATAGGCGCATGATACAAATCTATAAATAAATACAATTTAAGAATATGATTGGTGATTTACATACTTTTACCATTCAACGAAGGGTCCAAAACTGCAATCCTTACTCAAGCAAAAATCCCCTGGGCTTTTCTGGGATTTTTCCCTGAGCAGAAATTATTTAATTAGGCCTCAGTTGCTTTAATAATGGTATTTATAAGAAACTGGTGTTTCCCTTTCAGTTTTCAGGCTTGTAAACAGCTACGTATAAGACTTCACATATATTTAAGCTTCGCCAAGGCATGCCCATTTCTTCACCTAGACAACTGTTAAACTGAGAGAGGACAAAGTCATCAAAGGGTTACATCACTGGTGAAATTAAATGTACTAGGGACAAGAGGAATCAGTTTAGAAAAGTCTTGTACACCATCACTCTGTCACTGTAGTTGGATAGCCAGAAATACTTACTACAACAGTACTCTCAAAGCTCCAACTAAAATGAAAGGGGCTGTTTAAAAAAGGCTTTCAGTCCACAATGATTACCACCCCTTGTTAGCTTTCTCCTTTGCGTGGTGTTTTGTGGACAGATACTTACTTGGCATTTTTCTTCAAACCCAGTTGCAAAATATATCCGTGGTCATGGCATCACTAATTTTTCAAATAAGGTCAAATACAAATTTTAATGATAAACTGTGGACCAGGTCCACAAAGTTAGGGCCCTTAAGGTCCAGTAGATCCTTCACTGATAAAAATGGGAGCTTTGTAAAAAGATTGAGGGTAGACAGTGTCCTTTATGTAGGAACTGAATTTTCAGTTAGTAAAGTCACAGTTCCATTCGGCATCACAGAATAGGGAAAGGGGAAAAAAAAGAAAAAAAAGGCCAGGCTTTTTTAGGACTAACAATTTTTCTGTACTTTGCCACTTGTGCATGTTATCACCTGATTTGGTTCCCACAGCTGTCTTAACTGTGCAAAATAGCTGCACAGTTGTGCACCTAAAACAACAGAATCTGTGTCTTAGACTGTTGTCATCAGGCTCTATAAGTAAGACCGCAGTGGGATGAATGGGGTGACTCGCTTCTTCTGAAGTTCTTGTTTCAGGCTGTCTGCAGATTCTGGAAGATAGTTCTGCACTAGTTACTCTCTGTTCAATGTTTGGAAGGTTTTCTTTGTGGCTCTAAGAACTAGTAACTTCCTTTTTTCTTGTTTTTTTTATGAAAGCTTGCACTCTGCAGAATCTGAATCAGGGGGATGGGGGGGCGGACCTGATAAATACATCAGGCAGAATGGATTCATATATTTCTCACCACATAATAAAGTGTTGAGAATTGCCATTGACTGACACACACACAGCTGCCATGACATCACTGGGTCTTCCACGTATGGCCCTATGACTCCCATCCAGCAAAGCACTTAACCATGTGCTTTAATTTAAACAAATGAATAGCCGGATTGAATTCTGTGCGATGACTCATGCTTAAATATTTTTCTGAACTGATGCCTCTGCCAAGAGAGGGCTAAGCGTCTGACACTAGATCAAGACCATCCTGGACAAATGTATTTTGTACATAGAAAATAAATGTTGCACTCTTATGTTCCCCTGCAATTGTAGAGTGTATATATATGTGTTTTGGTCTGTGTGTCAGAGATGCCCTTGGTCAAGAATATACTTTACTGTCTCGTATAAATTATTCTCCTAATCTTTACAGTGCCGCTCTGTGTTTTTATAATTCCTGTATATCAGTAGCATCTTTAAACCCTACATGGATTTAAAATGTGTTTAAATATATTGTAAATTCAAGAACGTACAATAAGGCTGGGATTTCCAAGGAGAGTTGGACACTTAGCTCTTTCAGGCACTTTTGATAATCCCTCCCCAAATAAATAAAAGCAGATGAAAGAAGTCATTGAATAAATCTTGCCTTAATGTCTTTACTAGATCTGGAGAAAAAAATTTAATTGGTTGTTGCAGTGAATTTTGAATAAATTTTTTTTTTTAACTGAAAACAAAAGTTTTTTGGTTTCCTCTTACCCTCCTCTCCTTTCCCCTACCCCCTTCCTTTTCCAGTGGAAAAAAAATTGTTGCTGGAAACAATTTTTAGTTGCAAAAAATTGTCCCATAAAAATGAAATATTTCAGCTAATTTTTTGTTGTTGTTGGGGGGAAAAATGCCATTTTCCATTGCAAAATGTTTAGGGCCATATACTGCCTCCATGTATGAGTCGAATTCTGCCCTTGATGATGCAATTCAGTTTACTTCAGTGGATCCAACTCTGATGCATGTAACTGCCATTGATATCT